GAGAATGAAAGAGAGAGATACTTTCCGCCGTTTAGCGCCACGCTACGGAGAGTTTAGGCGGGTAAGTTGAGTTTAACTATCGTCTGTACAGTATTATATATAAATTAGGTACTGTACATATAATTATATATTAACTTAATTTATTTTAACTTTATTATAATTATATGTATAGTTTCACGCTACAGAGAGTTTACGCGAGCTATCGTCTGTACAGTATGTAAATTAGGTACCGTAAGTCTAATACAGTACTGTAATATTATACATTTCTTGTGAAAGAAACATTTCTTATTCAACGGCGATTAAAATTATTTATATTAACCTTAAGCCCCAAACCCGAGACTTCTCAGGCAAGTTACATAGCGTTACAAAAAAAGGTGGTCCTTAAGGGGTGATTTGACAAAATTTTTTTTTCAAATTTTGCAATGTTTTTTAGGTCCCCAAATTTTTTCAAAATTTTTTGCCCGCTCGAAAAAATTTTGTCGCGATTTTAATGAGCCTTTGATAAGGCTCGATTAAGGCTTAATTGTTTTTTAATGGGAGTTTTTTTATCAATTTTATTTCATAGTTCCTAAGTTGTAGTGCATGGATTTTCCTTTGGTAAAGTTATTTCAAGCTACTTTTTGATGTCAAAAACGACCTCCAATAGTTTTTTAATTTTTTTAATTAATATATTTTATTATATATAAGTTTAATTAAGTCGGGGAGGTCGGAAATCGCAATAAAAATTTTAATTTTTTAAAAATATTTAAAAATATAGGTCTAGCTAGTATTCACCCTACTTTAATTAAACCCTTGTCCTCCCGAGATGTCTATGAGAATGTCCCGGGAAATCCGACTCTAGCTGTTCTCAAGGTCATCCAGCTGTGTAAACAATGACTCATCAGTGTCACATTTCACATAAAGACGAGACAAAGGAAAATAAAATTTGAATCTTTTTCTTCAAAATTAACACATTTCTTTCGTTTTTTTTTCAGTTTTAAGTATTTTTTTATGTTTAATTATAATTAATTAAAAGTTGATCGGGAATGAAGGGGTTAAATTACGCTCAGAAATAAGAACGTAAAAATTGACGCGAAACAATATCTCTCCAGAACGCATTTTTGTAGTAAAAATGTTAAAATTAATGTGAAATAATTTATAATAAATGCTTTTATTTATAAAATGTAGCTTTAGGGATACTTTATTTGTAATTTTGTTTCATCAAAAACAATCCGCAACAAGACACGTGCTATCTACGGTCGTTGTTTACAACATGACCTTGATCACAGTATCTGTCCACGTTCCCAAGATGCATACATGTAAGCTTCCAGGGAAGTCGGGGTACTAGCAGGATGTGTAGTATACCACAATTACACAAATATAATACCAGATATTCGGTCCCTTGTAACATTTTATATGATGGGACCGGAAAAACGGTCCCAAACGAAAAACTTCTAATTGGTTTACAACTACGAAATTTAACGAGCACATAGACAACGTCCTGTAGAAGGTAAATACACTTTACCCGACTAAAATCCACGAAGTAAAAGTGAATTATTCGTTTTTTTCGATCGTAACATTACTTGGACGAGTCAGACTCGTCAGTGGGCGTTGCGTCCTTTTTACGTTAGACGAGCCTGACTCGTCACTGGGTCGTAAGGGGTTGCATGTAGATACAGTATTTACCTCACAGGTAAGTAAAATCAATTTTCTATCTTATATTGCGATTGTTTCTTTTTGTTGGGTTTTTGCCTTAGACGGCTAACGGAAAAACTTTCATGAACATCGTAATTGGTACGATTAAAAAAATCTAGCAGAGAGTGGCGTAACTTTGTCGGCTGTTAAGAGTTTTTATTAAAAGAAAAACACTTTTATATTAATGAAATAAGTTGTGTGTGGCGCCATCTATTATAATATTTTTATAAAAACTTTATATTTTTAATTACTGTACTATAAAATGGCAAAAAGCTTAATTTTGAGAATAGGGATGAGTTTTATGAAAAAATAAATTTTAATAACGAGTAAAATTGTCATTAAGTCTGGCCCTACTGCAGATATACACGACCCTTTTTTATATACAGAACACCCGGGAAAATAAAAATATATGGAGGAAAGAGTAAAAAAAAAATTACTAACTTTCTTACGTAGAAACCAATAAAATATTCATACAAATTGATTTATTTTTATAAACAAAACTATCAAAATTATTTAATTAACACATCAATTCTTTTCGTTATGTTTAACATATTTTTAATGTTAATATTAAATTAATTTACTAACGTATTAATTATACTCTTAATAAATCACAAAATAATTTTTCTTTTAAAAGATGTCAAAATTAAAATATATAATGATTATAATTACAAGCTGCCACAATATAAACTGTAATAATCGTCTGCCCAAACGCAAATCTTAATTCTGCCGTTAGGTGGCGAGTGTATTTCGAAGATGGATGCCGCTTACTGTAGTACAAATTTTCCTGAAACTAATGGCGATGTAAGTGGATTTTAATGCAATTATAATAACAATTAGGATATGAATGAGCTTATATTTTGAAATTATTGTGTAGATAATTATCTTCTTTACGAAATTTTTTATATTATAATTTTTGTTAAAATACCTGCATTTGTATACACGTTTTGGTTTTGAAAATGTTTGTTTAGAGGTAATAAGTTAACATTTTTAATATTACAAAATACATAAAATATTGCTTACAATGTTATAATTCAAGATAAAATACTAAAACACAAATTATTTTGAACTACATAACTTAGAGCTAGTGAACTACATGACTCGTTCACTAACTCTAGTTCTTAATACTAATTAATACTACTCTGACCAAAAAAATGAACTACTCCATGTAGTACATAGTAGTATTAAGAACTATTAACTATCTATATATCCAATTTCTGCATACTTAATATAATATACACTAATAAATTTAGTGTTTTTTTAAAACAGGAAGATACACAATAACAAGAATTTATAGTGTACTTTTACAACAAACAGGGTTCCTACACACCTGGAAAGTCAGGGATTTTTATTAGTGTTCAGAAAAAGTCAGGGAATTTGTTAAAAATTGGGAAAAGTCAGAGAATTTGCTTCCTTGGCTGCCCTGTTTATTTTTTCTGACAATATGCTTGACTAACGGGACATTCCAATTTTCAACGCTGACTCAGCGCTGATCTCAACATTCGTTAAAATTCGTTCCTTTTTTCAACGTTGAGGTAGCGCTGTTGTCAGCGCTGACTCAACACACTCAGCACTCAACAGATATGTTGACTGCTACTTTCCAATGAATTGTGGGTAATCGGTAAGACATTTGAATGGAATCCATCTTGCCGAGAATGGAATTATGGGAACTAAGCAGTTCGTACTCGAGTTGGAACGTCGTTGATGACGTCAAATTGTTGACTTCAACACTCAACATTCGCGTTGAAAATTGGAATGTCCCGTAAGTGTTGGCAGGCAGCAAGAAGTAATGTGGTACAGTACAATACGACTTATGAAAAAGGATGCAGAATATTTTTACAGGACCCAAAATTTTTATAAAGTATACGAAATGATAGTTTAAAATGGTATTATCATTTTAATANGCCACCAAGCCACTGGGTACTCTGCAAATGTTGGGAATTCCAAACATTTTAAGTGAGATTTTTGTAATTTTCAACCTCAATTTTCTCCTTTAATTTTGAGTATTGTGCCTTACTGCTTGGCATGTGTCAGTCATTGGGGAAACAGTATAAGTTTGATCAAAACCAGTTACCTGAACATCATACTGTTCCCTCATAAGATGAACCAAGTAAAGGTGTTTTTCTGTTTAATAAATTTTGTTAAGATATTTATGAGGGCTGTTCGAAAAGTTCGCGGCCTTGCCTATATGCGGCGCTGCGATCAATTTAATTTTTGGCGGGAATAATTCAGCCATCCTTGATAAAGATACGATAGCAATTTCCGTTTGATTTGTCGTAAAGTTTTGCCACGACAGCTTAGCAGATAGTCAATGTGCACATGCTTTGTCAAAAATGGAGAAGACGGAGACTCGTGCGGTCATAAAATACCTGACAAAAAAAGGGTTGACCGCATCTCAAATCAAAGCTGACATGGATGAAGTTTTAGGATAGTCTGCTCCTTTGTACACCACTGTGAAAATATGGACAGCCCTTTTTAAATCTGGCAGAGAAAGTGTGGAAGATGACCCTCGCAGCGGACAGCCGTCAACTGCTGTCACTGAAGAAAACATCGACAAAGTTCACGATTTGGT